ATATTATTGTATTATTATTATGATGTTAGATATCGTATATGTGATTGGTAAATAATCAAGTATTAAAACGGACAATTATGGGACCATTTTCAATGAAGTTAAAATACGTTATTGAGCGTTTTTTCAATGATTGGATTACTTCATTCTCGAGTACTTTAATCATCCTTTCGTCTCTCTTAAAATATCGAATGACTGAATCTGATCATACCATACTAGGGGCGTAATTTTTTGAAGATTTACACAACTCTAATATTAAATTTGGGGTGGGCTGCAAAATTTTCTTGGACAGAAGTCCTGCCTACTTGACATTTAAACAAACGTTGAGCATGTTACAGATTATCTTCACGACAGACAAAAACAACAATAAGAGCAAAAACAGACAAAAATTAAACAACGAAGACGGAGAAAATCATATTTTTGGTTTTGTTCAATGGAATCAATCAAATATTTGACAACATTTGAAAGCAGCACTGAAAACTTTTTCATCACGTCACCTGCGAAGCAGTGGCGAAGCGTGAATGATCGATAATCGATATTTCCCCATGTAAAAGTATGGTAAAGAATCGATTGTAAGGTGTCCATTGCAAACACCATGTTTATCGATCCTTTTTTAAAGGTTTAAATGACAGATTAATCGATACATCGCAAACTACGCTGCGCCACTGTTGGAAAGAAGAGACAAAAAATATGATATGGATGAAGTGAGTAGTGTGATTGAAAAGGAAATTTTTGAACTGCAATGAAGAGACGCATTTTCAGACTCCATGCAGCCGCAGAAATTAAAGATAAAGTTCTTACCGGAACTACTCACAAAATTTGGAGGGTATTTTACACCACAGTGGTATTTTTGAACAAACTGCTGTTAGATGTCCCTTCAAATATTTGATTAATACCACTCATATTCATATTTTTGCGTTAAAAGAAAAACGAAAATGAAAAAAAAAATAATAAATCCATTGAACCTCACACAAACCTACTACGTTAGCAATTGCGGAAAAGGGTGCTGCCTAAAATAACGAACGGAAATCAATTCAAAAATACAGAACTAGCCATTTAAAAATAAAACGCAGAACAATCATTTCCTTCCAACTTGGCGTAATAACTGAAAGAGGTAATAAGTACCTAAAAGAGGTATCGCATCAGACACTTGTGGTAAAGTTTCTGCGACTAGGTTGAGGAAAACCGTCAAAGACAGAAGGATAGTCACTCCTGCAACAAAATTTCATGGTTGCCATTTTTGCGGACACATTGGTTCAAGGGATTCCGTGTACGACTTACAGTGATTAGAATATATTTTCTGATCCAAAGAACCGTTTCTCGAAAATTGTCCGAAACGAGTCGTTGCATTGAAAATTGTAGCTCATTCTGTTTGCATGATTAGATCATCTGGGATTCTTCTCAAAACAAAGGTAATTTGAGTTGAAAATACTTCCGATTCATTGTAAGTCCCTTTAAAATTTTACTGTTAATGGTAAAAATGTATAATAATATTATATCTAAATATTACACTTCCGTGTAAAACAAGAGGCGTCCGAAGACACCACTAACACCCGCATGACAACCTAACAACCTTGTGATCTACAGACAGAAATTAATATTTGCCTCTTGCCAAAAGGCGAAAACTTTTTTGGGCATGGTTTTTTTAGACACGTTAAAAACTAGGCTAAAGTCAGACTATGGTATACCACAAGATTATATCCAGGAATGGAGATGTGAATATAAGTTTGACTCCTTCAGACTCACTTTCCGACTGATTAAAAAAGGGAGTAATGAGGTAATCAGGCTACTTCAGATAATCAAGCATTTAATTAAATGAAAAAAGTAGGTAATTAGAAATTAAATGGATAGTTTGAAATCCATTTACAACGTTTTGAATTCTTCAATGCCTAGATGAATGGTTTGATGAGAGAATGAAATGGAGATTTTTGGAAGGAAAAGGTTCCTTTTCCCCTCCTTTTCTTGAACTGTGAATATTTCAATCCTTGGTTTTTCATTTGAAGTCTATAATAATTCGAGAGTAAAAGTCTCTGACTGTGTCTCATCAAATATACCATTACTTCCTGACAAAATTATAAGTTTCATCATTTCCGTGGAGAGCAAGTTGAAAAAATAATCTTATTCAGCAAATATCAACCGAAATCCTTTTGTCAGCTGAATGTAAAAACTATGCGTGGCAGAGATGAATTGAAAATTTACAACGACAAACTTAAGTTTTGTTGGGTTCGTGACCCAAAAAAATGAATAAAATAAGGAGCCTTTTCTGAAAGCAATCAAAATTACTCTAGGACAAGTTTACAATTTAAAGATGTTTTAGGTGATACATATTTTTTCGGGAGATAATTTACTTGGAAAATTAAATTATGAGACTAAACGTGGTCCCTTGTTTTGCTGAAGCATTTTTAGTGTATCATTCTAACGAAAAACTAGGTTGATTTTGAGATAAAGTTACTGTGGAAAATTCTGATCATGATCACAGTAGTTTCGTCAAAAAAAAATTATTGCGATATCTTTTCGGGATCAATTGTTTTCTGTGCTTGTTTAAACCATGAATCAATTAATCACTTTACTGACGTCATTGTGAGGGAATAGGTAAACATTTACGATGTACACATGGAAAAACTATTTTGAGTTCAAGTTGGCCAAATATAGACCGTGGTTCACAAAATATGCACGCAATTATTTCATTTTTCCTATTCAAAGAAGCGCGTGACCTTATTTTATTAAAGCTTAAGACATTTTAAATTAAAACAAAAATTATATGCATCTAAAAAAGTAAACGATGTGATTGAGGTAGATGTTCTACAATTTCGTCGATCTTGGGCAATTTTTTTACACGGTGCTTTGACGAATTTTAGCTTTCGTTTCCTGAAAGTATTTAAGCTCGTGCTTTATTTTTGTTTATGCATCCATGACTCGAAAGTGAACAAAAAAGCAATTGTCCTAACTAGAATAGCATGGCTATGGCTGAACCCAGCAAGAACGTACCTCAATTTGTAACGTTGTAAACCCTCCGTTAAATTTTATCTTTTCATTGTAGAAGTGATCGATAAAAATGTCTAAAACAATTTCCAAGAACGGCCCTTTGAGTAAAAAACGTTTTGTGAAAATGTCGGCAATTATTTCGTCCGTTGACTGGGAAAAAATATAATTAAAACGGAAGTTTTGAAACATCGCGATTGAGATACGTAGAGTCCGAGTTCATCATCGAATGTGAATTCTTCAGAGGGAATTTATTTAAATTCATATGTCGGTGCCTACAGTACAGGGACAGGGGTCATATTTGCCGTGCTAAGTGAAAAAGCCATATGAGCATAAAGACGTTGTCTTATTTCCGCAGATAAAATACTTATTGTTTTTTTGGATAGTTACTAATATTTTTTATTGAGAATTCTTAATAATTAAATTTAAATTGCGAGTAGAATAAGTCTCTGAGAAATTGGAAAAAAACGTTTCCACAAGGTTCGCAGAAAATTTTAATTTTAGAAATGGAAACTGAAATTAAGAAACAACGTATAAAGGCTCATACGGCGTTTTTCTTGAGCACGGCGGATATCCTCGCGAAAAGCGAATATACCGGAAATAATGATTTATAAAAAAAATCATTCTATGGGATTTGAGTGCATAAGAGGTTTTTAAAATGAAATTGGTGAGGTCGGATCTTTCAGATACGTCCCACACCTTCAAATAAAATTGGTCTCGCCTATTTTGCCATTTTTTCTTGACGTTTCGCCTATTCTCTACTACTAAAAACAACGACAATTAACACAGAAATAAACTGAATATTCAGAAGCATTTTTGCGATATTTTCGCAAGACAAGATCAGGATAAATATTTTAAGGACTGTTGTCACTCTAAACAGTGGGAACAAAGGAACGCGGAAACACCAGAACAACACAGAAACTTCACAAATCTTTTTTAAAAAAAGAGAGAAAGGAAACGCCAAGAAAACGGCATTTCGATGACGCCCATCATGATGAATGAACCAGCAGACAGGAAACAAAATTGGATGCAAGTGTTTATATTTCTCAACACAATATTTCCGTAGGATATTGGGAACACATTGAAAATTTCTACCTCCTACTCATAAGATTGGAAATAGCCTTTCTTGGTCTACATGATTTTGATTTTTTCACAGACGATAGGTTTGAATTGACCACTTCTAATTTACACCTTTAAAAAGTAATTTTTAACTTAGTTATTAATTTCCAAAATGCTTTATACTTCGAACATTTCATGATTAAATACGTGTTACGAAAGTCGAATTTGAGGAATTTCACCGGAATCACTCTACCCTGCATTTTACATTGCATGAATTTCTCTCATGTTTAATTTTTTTCACGGAGAACTAAACCACTTAGCCACTTTAAACGTTTTGTGATTTTACTTTACATTATGAACAACATACTTTCAAAATTTCAAGTATTCGTGCTGTTTAGTTTCTTGATCGAAAAATAAAACACCAGAGAGAAGTATGCGACGTCTCATGTAGCTAGGCTCACATAGGCGTCTTTGCGAGTTGGCAACAATGTTTTCCCTGCATTTAAATCCATTGAAAATATCGATTGTAGATGAGGCAAGCTGCCTCTCAAAGAATCGATTGTTTAACATACATTTAAATGGAGGTCAAACAGTTTTGCCAACTATCAAGAATCACCCTCGTTCCGGTTATAAACATCCATTTTGTACCCTGTCCAGAGGTCCATTCTAGAAAACTATTTCACTTTCGGGTTGTCGTCGACGGGAGCTTTAGGGCAGTGGTGAAGCGTGAATGATCGACTATCGATATTTCCCCATTCAAACCTATGGTAAATAATCGACCATTAAGGAGTACCCTGTTTATCGATCCTTTCCCATAGGTTTAAATGACAGATCAATCGATGTATTGCAAAGCACGCCCCGCCACTGCTTTTAGGTATTGTAACTGTCCCTGATTGGCGGATTTGAAATGAAAACGTCTCCAAGTATCAAATTGACCCGGTTCTAAAAGTAGGGCTTCGTACCTATTAACGGCACCGCGTCTGAGGTCGTAGGCATGGACTCCGCCACGAGATTCAGAAAGACAGTAAGTGAGAGGAGTATAGTTACTCCTGAAAAAATACAGTCGGAGTCATTTGCAGTGTCGCAATATTGGCACATCCTTAAACGCTAGCTTAAAAGTAGGTATACTAGAGGTGACGTCGGAACAAATGGACACTGAATTACATTTTGCAATGAAAAACTAAAATTTCTGGCTCTTCCATAAAAAAACTTAAGTGCATAGACAAAGTTTTGGCACATACGCTGTTTCTAGACTGAGCCGGAAACTTTAGTTCCTAATTGTGCAATGTAGTCCAAGTGCTCTTGAGCCCAGTCCAACCGACCCGGGTTTTCTACTCAGAGCTTGCTGTAATAGATGCAATTCAGCAATTAAGTCGTACCTAAATGAGGAGCTTGGAAAAACAAGTAGCATTGGTATATATTTGGACTCCTGATATATGCCAAATGGAGCGCATTAGAAATCGGAAAAGAAAAGACGGAAAGGAGGGGGAAATAGGAAAAAACTTATGAATAGGAAGAATTCAAAAGAGGAAGGAAAGATGGTAAAAGAGAGGGGGCGGAAAAAGAGGAACGGCAAGAGAAAGAAAGAGACAATCATAAAAGAAATTGATGATGACATCCTAAACCTCCTATCTTGGTTTGTAATGATACACGCAGACCTCATGTCATACTTTACTCTTTAAGTAGGAAACGACTCAACATCAAGTCTTGAAATCTTCCATGATTTTCACCTCTGTGTGAGGAGTATTCTGTGAAAATTTCAAGCAATAATGCAGAGTCGTTCTCCTTTAAATAGGAGCGGGTATTTTGAGACAACTCAAACGAGATACGTAAGATGGGAGTTCCACCGGTCGAAATGCTTTTCTATAATCCTCTTCTCAATCTTTTAATTTTTCCTTCTTCTTCTCTTCTCATTCTTCTTTCCATCCTCTTCACTCCTCTCCGTCTAATTTTTCTTCTTCCTTCTCTCTTCCTCTCCTTTCCACTTCTCTTCCTCCTTCATTAATTCTCTGCGTTTCTCCTCTCCTACTCCTTCTTATTCTTCTCTCTCGATAGCTTTGTCTTTAGCCTTTATTTTCACTTTCATTTTCTCTTTATTTTCTTTTTGATTTCTAATGCATCCTTATAGACATATGTCAGTAATCCACCTTATTTTATTGGTATTATTTATTAAATTATTTCTTCATTTATTTTTTCGATGAAGAAGGCAGGGTCCCATTTAACAAATGCTCTCTATATTTGAGAGCAGTGTGCGATGAATATCAGTGCTGTCTCGTCACTGATTAAAATCACTCGCCAAAATTTGGAAGTAAAATCTACTAAAATATATTTCCAGATTCTAGGTCCGAACGGAAGATCTCCTCCGCGGTGAAAAAGAGGAGTTCCGATTCAGACGGATTCGGTGAGCAAAAACCAACCAGCGTGTCAGAACAACCGGTGAATAATAGATGCACAATCAAGCGAACAATGCAGGGCCATAAATCTCTCCCCTTCTTTGCCCCGATTTTTTTGAATTTTTTATTTTAATTTTTATTTCACCTCTGTGGTCGTGCCCCAACAGGCAACGATGGCTCGCGGCGGAAATAATTGGTTATTTCGAAAGCTTGCTTCGTAGATTAAACATTAATCAATAAGTTTAATTGTTGGTCGGTGAGGACATGTTTTACAATTGAAATCACGTAACCGCAGGGAGCTTTGATTTACTCCGCTAATCTGAATTTTTAAATTGTTACATGACGTATTGTTATTCCTGGTTAGTTTGTAACTTCTGGACTTTTGACATCCAAAGAATTAATGGTGGGTAAAGTAACGGTTCCAGTTTTAAAAACTCCGAGTATTGATAAAACATCGTTTTTAAATAGCCTGTGCGGTTGAGTCATCTAGTCACTAATTTAGCTCTTTCTCGTTTGTGTTCTCTTTCAGTACTAGGTGCGCCGTGCATAAAAATTACCCTGAGCACACAGAATCAAAAAAATATAACTTCTCTCTTATTTATGTCCTTGCATTTTAGCAATCTTAAGTGGCGCACTTTTTTGCGGTGTAGAAAAATTGAAGGCTAGGACGAAACGGGCCTTGTCATGAAATACCATATGAGAACTAGCAAAACAGGGCTATTCTGGCTGGTTTTCTATCACTGAGATTTTCATTTTATATCTTCGTATTAGTGCGAGGACGCAAAGATCTCTAAATAAAAATCCCTAAAGGAAAAATGAATATTAGACATTTATATTCTTGGGGATCTCAGTCTACTGTCTGAAGGATATCTTTTTTATTATGGTTTTTCCACTTATGAAAAACAATTAACTACTTTTCAAGGAAATTAGTGAACTTGTGTGATTCCTCGATTTTTAAGATGCCTTTGGAACAAGATCTTAGGTTTTTTAGATAGTCTACAATTCTTTCGGATATCATACTGTTTAAATCTTGATAAGGTGTTTCAAGAAGTAATTTGGATGATGTTAAACAATTATTTTACATTAGTATCATTCAACGATTGTAAGATACGATATTTCATTGAACTGAATACCGCATCTTCTCTTCACCTTAAACTTCTGAATAGACTAAGAGTAACGCATGCATAAATACGTATTTAATTGAGATGAAATTTACTACGAGGAATGGTTTAGTTAAAAAAAAAGACCTCGAATTATGAGGAATGTCGAGGGTTAATTGTAATTAAATAATTATACCATTGTGAACCGAAAACACCTCTTGTCGGCTCAAGATATAAAATAGCTCCGCAGTTCCATAAATTCTAATTTATGAATTCTGACATGATGCAGTTTTTGCCGTGCTACGGGGACACGCCGTATGAACATTGAAACGAAGCCACAAATTCATCAATAAAATATTATATCCTGAGAAAAACTATAAATAAGTTACCTTGACACTTTCAGATACGCTAATCGAATGAATTACAACAAAAAAATAATCGGGCTAATTCCAGAAAAATAAATTCAAAGGTTTTTTAGAGAATTTTAATTTTATCAAAATATATTTGACAACGTCCAAATGTTCATACGGCCTTTTCCCACGACGCAGCAGATATAGTGATGATTCAGAGAACGCTTCTCTTGGGGGTAAAAAAAAACGAGGGAAAAACCTGCTTCGGCTATTCAATTCACGGCATAAAAATCTTGCTCATAGATATTTTGAACTATGCTTGGATAGGGTAGCTTTTGTAAATATACAGAGTATTTAGTACAATGAATTTCATCCAACTGGAAACAAGTACACAAACAATTTGTCGAATCGGAAATCGGCTGAGTGTAAACTGCTAGGGATCAAATACAATTTATACATGCCAGTTTCTGGGCATTAATTTACGAAGGCGGATCATATTAGAGATAGCACAAACAATATTTCAATCAATTTTTTTTCATTATCAAATGCTTGCAACACGTCAGTGAAACTGGGAGGAATGAACTGCACTGCGGAAATTCTTCTTGTGCGACTTCAATATTTGGCTTGAAAAAATCTCAAGATTTTGTTGAAACGGTGTTTTTGACATGGTTGATGAACTAAAATCGGTGCCTTTGTCTCACATAATCGATTGAAAAATGACGAATGAGATGTCTTTTATTCATTTTAGGATAATAATCGTTTCTTCGTGCATTGAAAGAAGCACATTTTGGCATACAGTTTACACTTGGCCTGGTAGTATTAATGTAATTGAATGTGCGAAAAGTCTCATATGTGTGAATTATCAGTTTATCTGGTACTAAAATCGAATGAAAAATTTACAAGCAAAAAGTATCTTCGTATTTACTTAATACTGAATTGGCTTCATGTTTTTAGTGTTCCTTAACATTTTTGGATTTCTTGAGCGCAAATGACTGAAAAATACTCAAATATACAGTGCAAACTTAACTGACGCTTCAACTCTCTTTCCTGTGGCATTATAACAAAATTTCTGAATTTTAACTTCCCGTTTCTTCGCAGAACGTGTCCGATGACTCGGAGAATGAAATTCCTGCATTCTCCAGGAATTTTTGAACACGTTTCATAGAATTTTCTGATATTTTACATTGAAACTATTCACGTGTAGAACAGAAAATGAACAATTTTTGGCATTGATTGACTTAAATTTATCCTCTGTTCACTTTTAGAGTGTAACTCAAAATTTTGATCCTCGAATCAGGCTGAGACTCAATTAGATTTTAAGGATAGCGCTGATACTTTTGTGGATTTCAAAATTCAAGATTTTTTAAATCGAGAGTATTTATGCTAAAAGAAACGAGAGACAGGAGGGAAACATGGAAAGAGCTCTATAAAGCCACATAAGAAGCAATGTAAAAGTGGGCGTGATTCCTTTAGTGAAAATGGAAAAGTTGGATTTGACATTAAATCAAAACGAACTAAACTCCAAAATGCACTAACTCATGAGCCCTGAGCATATGACAAGAGCGTTGTGGACAGGGCTCATGAGTGAAAGACTGCCGAGAGCGATCTCCTCGTTCTCGGCGTCGATGCTGACGTCACTGACAATATATAATTATCATTCATTCTCCCGACCCTCAACTAACGAGCCCACTCCTTCTTTTCCACCCGTCTTCCGTTCCTTTTACCATGATTACGTCCAATTTCTAGTCCGAGCCTTAAAATTCCCTGAGTTTTTCTTGATTTTCTCGACTTGATGAAATAGAGAATTCGCAGGAGACTGAAATTTGATGAATTTTGTGTTTAAGTGGAAACCACAGAGTGAACTGAACACGAGGATACCCTTGGTTCATGAATTGAACAATTATTGGAGAAAATATGACAAAATTATCTAGTCTGCTAGAATACGTGTGTTTAAATGGGAAATGCCGCCAGATGACGTCACTAGGCGGTGCATTTTCTCACTTTTAAATCTATTTTTATACGATTTCCCATATGAGAAAGAAATCATAAAAAATACTGTGATATCAGCTCTTTAAGCACTTTCAGATGAAGTAATAAAAACTTTGTATGCAAACTCTCCATTCCCTGATAATTTTTGATTTTCCAGAACTGTATATGAGGACTCATCTGGAACAATAGCGGATGTGAAAAATTACCTCTTCGAAACACGCTTAAAAAAACTGTTTTGTTCACACAAAAATTTAATATTTTTGGCTCCGGCATAACGTACAGATCTCGAAGATCACATCTCAAGTATATTCTTAAAATTTTCTCGATGCCAAAACAGTTTTTTGAATGTATTTCGAGAAGGTAATTTTTCACATCCGCTCTTGTTACAGATAAGTCCTCATATCGTCACCTTCCAGGCAAAGTATCACAAGCGCCATGCGACGTTTAAAAATTTCCGCCGCCATTTTATTTCTTTACTGAGAAATTGTTGGTTGAATCTGTTTGGAAATTTCACTAAATTCTATCGGCAGCACAAAGAAAATTCAGTGAAATTTTCGGACAGCTTCTGTAAAAAAATAAAATGGCGGCGGAAATTTTTAAACGTCGCATGGCGCTTGTGATACTTTGCCTGGAAGGTGACGATATGTCGTTTCGATGAATTCACGATGAGACGTTTCGAACATCCAGAGCTGAAAACATGATGATGCAGGTGAGAAGAAATGGTAATAAAGGTGTGATAAAAAGTGAGCGGATTGTGGAGAAGCGGAAAATAGTGAAAAGAATACAGTACCAAGCGTAAGCTTCTCCCCGGAGTCGGGCGGCAAGGTGAAGCCCAGGAGCGCCATCGAGGAAATTAGAACACAGGGTACAATTAAGTTAAAAAAATAGTATAGGGTCCTCCGTCTGATTTGTATTTGAAAAGTGATATCTACATAGGGTTCCGGACAGCACTGGTAGTACAGCACGTTCCGTTTTCCCGGCATACCTGAAACAGAACCCAATCCACCCTCAGTAAAGACAAATTCATTCCAAAAGAAATATAGGAATAAGAAATATAAACTATGATTCAAATTTCACTATATACATATAAGCCCCAGCATTTAACATCATTTGCTCTTCAGTAACATGAGTAATCTTTCCATTCAATTATTCATTTACCTTTATAAAAATATCAGTACTAATAATATTAAGATGTACGGCATTTAATGTAGTATAACTATTGTGATACTAAGATGAGCATCAAACTCAAATTATGCCTTTATTGGCATAATTAATAATTTATAAACATATAAGGGAATAGGAAAAATAATAGCCAATAAGTAAGCTAATAAGTAGCTAATAAGTAGCTAATAAGTAATAATGGCTAATAAGTACACCAAAAAAAAAGTAAAGTTGCTTTAACATTCTGGATGTAAAAAAAGTGTGCGAGAACTTATGAAATGCTGAATTACCCACGACAGTTACTTTAGCGATGCCAAGTATGTAAAATTAACTGCTGTGGCAGGTAATGTAGCATTTCATTTATTCTCGCACTTTTTTTTACAATTACATGTAGAATGTTAAATCAACTTCACTTTTTTTTTGGTTTACGCACTGAAAAAAAAGCATATCGAAAATTTTGAAACGTCGCAACGGATATGTGGTTTTCGCAGGTTGGCCATCGATATTCTGTTCCGATGTTGGAAAAGTGATCGGGGCAATTTTGATTCTAGTTGGCGTCAAATTTTGCCGTATTTTTAACTATTTTACTCTAGTTTACTTCAAAATACTCCAATGTGCCGTTCGTCGTTTCTCACACGAAGGAACGTGACTGTATTCCAAGGTTGCAAAATGAACTCAAACATTTCGGTTTTTTACCATAGTAAACCCGCATGATTTTCGCCGTAAATTCGACTGATGTTTGCATGATATCAGAAGAAAGATTAGTGAAATTTTCAATTCGAAATTCTCAAAATTTTCCTGGTAAAAATGCAATTCATGCGGAAAAATCTGGCAACATTGTTTAGTTACGTCCTTTCGTGAGAAAAATGACGCATTGGAGTGCGCTAAGGAGGAGAGGTGCGAATTTAACCATTTCGACACATGTTTCGGAACCAAAAGATCACTTAAAACAAGGTGCGCGCAAAGTAAAGCTGAAACTAATTCCTAACCACGATATTTATGTTTCTTGACACGTAACTTCAAATCTCCCGTTTACGAAAAAACATTAGGTTACGTGAGTCAAATCGCATAACGTTACCTATGACAGTATCTCTTTCGACAGGAAGAGACTAGTAAACTAGAAAGACTAGAAGGCACACCTCCTCAGGATACAAACAGGATACAACTAGGTTACAAAAATAATGAAAAGGGTCGGGTGAATTTTAGCTAGATGACTTACATTTTATCTAAAAACTATTCTTTTGGCTTCTTTTACAATAACTCTAGGTTCACATAAAGATTGCTCGGTGATTATTGACAGACTGCTTTATTTGCAGCCGTTTAAACTCATTGAAACGCTACAAGCGACTATTTTAACTCTCCGGAGAGCAAATTGCATACTTCCCAACTTGTAGGCGTTTTGAACGGCAGCAGTCTCTCAGATCACGCCGCGGCAATCGCGAGAACTGTTGTGCATGTAAACCCAATGCATACAGAAGTTTCAAAGGGTATTTTGACTCTCCATGAAGCGAAAACGTGAAGTCCTTTGCGGACTGATAATATACATTTTCAGATACAGCTTTAGACGAAGAGGACAAAGGGGAAATAGAGCGACCCCGGCGACTGAAACGGGTGATGTTCATGGAGTAAGGGGGAAATTATTCATGGGTTGCTATTAGTTGGTATGCTACTTAAATTCATTGTCCATTGTTACCACACCCTTTCACCAATAGGATCTCTCCAATTTTCCTTCAGCTCCTTTGTAGATAACTTTGTCTATTAATTCAATGATCAGTTCTCTGAACCGAAGAGCGCTAAATGATCTATTTGGTTCGTAAAATTTATACGTTTTTCTCCGATTAAAAAAAGAAAAACTCCTGTGAACGGTCACTTATTTCAAAAATTTCTATTTTCCGAGAAAATTAGTTATACCTAACCATAAGGAGGATGTTTTACGTTGGAATGAAGAACTCCTTCATTTACACCCACTTAAAAGCATTGAAACGTGACAAGCAACTATTTTAACTCTCCGGAGAGCAAATTGCATACTTCCCATATTGAAGGCGTTTTGAACGGTAGCAGTCGCGCAGGTCGCGGCAACCGCGAGAACTGTTGTGCACTCAATGCTTATCGAAGTTTCGAAGGGCAGTTTGACTCGCCATTAAACAAAAACCTAGAGGTCTCAGTCTTCTGGAGGCTGATTATTGAAATTGATAGACAAAGCTATCGACAAAGAATACAAACGGAAAATGAAGCGATGTTTTTGTTAAGACTGGTATTTCTTATAAGGTAAGGGTGATATTATGGACTAAGCACAGGATAGGGCGACTTTCTTGGGTTGTCATTAGTTAGTTTTTTACTTAAATCTTCTGTCCTTTCTAACCACCCGCTTTAATCGGTAAGGTCGTTCCTATTTTCTTTTGGCTTCTTTGTACATTTATTTGTCTATCAATTTCAATGATCAGCTCTCTGAACCAAAGAGCGCTGAATGAACTAATTGGTCCATGAAACCGTGGTTTTCTCCGTATAGCGTATTTTCCCTTCGATCGGATTCGATGCCTTTACTAGAGGAGGAAGTAAACTTTTATGAAATCGAACTACAATTATTTTCCTAACGCAAAGCTTATTTTCAGTGTCTGATTTGAGCTACGTCGAGTATGTTCTTTTTTCAGCGAGGATTTTGAATTGACTATTAATAATGTAAGCTATCAACGTTGATTTCTCACTCAAGATATAAGACTTAAATTTGGAGACATTCGATATGTTAAATATGTTCCAAGTAAAAATTTGCTGAGGGAACAAGTACAGTCCAGATTTTAATCCCATCTTATAGTCTGATAAGACGATGAAATAGAAAAAAGCTTCCACAAATTAGGCTAGCAATAGGACGTACAGCGCAACGACGTAACAACTTCTAACTATGTATCCCGAAAATCATTTAGTTACATGGACTGCAAAGTTCATTGCGAAGTGTAGTTACGCCCTGAAGTAGGAGGGCAATGCTGAGCTCCATTCTACAATCTCATCGGATAATTTTGTAGAATTTCGCCACCTTGTGAACTAAACCACGTTTGGGGATGGATTTTTCAGATAAAAATAATAAATATTCATAGAAACTCACGCCGGAAAACATGTTCGAAGATATTGCAGAAGATTCGGAACCCAGGGATTCAACATTGTTACATGCAAAGCGCAGAGCGTGCCCTAAACCCCCCCCCCCTCCCACCACTACCCTCACACAACCCCACGCTTGGGCAGTAGCTCATAGCTCATGAGCATCGAATGGGCCGTGGGTTGGGAGGGGGGGGGGCTAGTGGACGACGAAGTTGGGGGAAAAATAGGACGTGCTGAGCACGGTGATTAAGGTGCCCGCAAGATTGCCAAAACTGCCGTACTAAGGAAGAACGCCGTATGGGCCATCAGACGTTGCCAAAATTTTTCCGATGAAATGCAAATTTTCAAGAAAACTGGTACACGTTTTCCCGTCAATTTATTCGAGAAGTAGATCAACAATTCGATCTGGAGTATCTGAAAAAGCGAGGAATAGTGCGTCACTGTTCACGGAAAAAGGGACACTATAAGCCCATAAATACTCAAAACTTAATTATCAGGTAATGCCAGTTCATGCAACAGAATTCTACAAAATGTTTGGGACAATAAATGTCAAGCTTATAAGGTTTTAAGGAGATCTAAAGGTAGCCAGTCCAAGAACGTAATTCGAGAAAAAATAACTAAAAATTCTCATCTGTCATTTTCAAGGTATGGAGTTGCCGTGTTATATTGCAATTTGGGCCGTGAAAATGATCTGAATTACTTCTATGTCGTTCTTTTAGACGCATGGAACAACCGGACTACATTTTAAAATTAGGAACTACAATTTCCGGGTCAGTTCAGACACAACGTATGTGTCGCCAGATTTCCTATGCACATGAGTTTTTTCTCGGAAGATCCAGATTTCAGTTCTTAGTTGAAAAATAAAATCCAATTGTCAGTCTGAATCCCAATATTCGATTGTTCTACCTAACTCGACAAAAACCGATCCGTATAGTGGTCAGCGTGTCCGACTCTAAGTGTATAGGTCCCGGGTTCGAATCCCGGTAATGGCGCCACAATTTCAAGAGACGGACGAGATTCTACTGGGCCTTAATCCCTGAAAATTGGAAATGCCTTAAGTGGAATTCCTTTAATGTCTACGGAATATAAATGGACTCTACATGGATTCCTAATGGAACATAAGCCAATAGCCAGCAAAATAAGTCGCTCTACTAGGAATTTTGCCTCTAAGAACTCAGGTCCCTTTCCCCGTAGACTGTCACAAATGCACAACATTTGGACGGAATTTATTATTACGGAATTATTTCTGCTAAACGGAACCAGAAACATGTGGGAAAGAAGGCGTGTGCTCATAAGTTGAGGAACGTAAGAATGAAAGGGAATTACAAAGCGCCTGTGACGTCAGCATCGACGATCGGCCTCGACAAGCTCAACGATGCCGCATTAACTCATGAGCCCTGTCCACAACTCTCTTGTGACATGTCCACGGCTCATGAGTTAGCATGCAGTTGGCGCTTGGTTCCGTTTGATTTAGTGTAAAATCCCACTTTTGCATCCCCTCGAGGAGAATCACGCCCACTTTCACATCGTTTCTTATGAAGCTCACCAGGAGCATACCCCATCTTCCCCACACGTCTCTAGTTCCTATCAGCAGGAATACATCAATTTATCAAAAGCAAATAGGTATGTCGAAGGCAATAGGTCAGATCCGGCATTTTATCAAATACCTAGACCGGTAGTCAAATTTTGACAATTTACGGATTTCTGTAAATTTATAGCGAGGATTTCACG